AGACCTTCTCATAGTCTAAGAACACCAAGCATATAGGCAAGTTAGACTCTTCGGTCTTCTGTATAACCTGCCGTAGCGTATAGATGCGGTATATGGTAGTGTAAACGTTTCGATAACTGGCTTCCTCGAGAGACTATAAGTCATCGAACCTACGCGCGAGACTATTCGTGATGGCTCTCAAAAACAGCTTGTAGACATGACTCAGAGTCAGAACCCAGATGGGTCTGTAATTCTCCTTTCTCCTTAATAAGGCTTTTACCCCTTTCTTAAAGAAAAACACCACCAAGCATTTGTTCCGTGCCTCTGGCATTATTCCCTGGAGTAAGACGGAGTTACAGTCTATGAAGGATTTTCAGTATCGGCTTATCACCTGCCGCGTTCAGAAGCTCCGAGGTTATTCCGTCATCACCCGGTGCCTTTTTGTTCTTTAGCTGTTTGAGAGCCATCCTAATCACGTAAGGGCTGATGTCCGGCTAATCTTCGGTATAGTGTCGAGTTAGCTTAGCTGTTGGAACTGTCCTGTGGCTGAGCTATTAACAGGTTTTACTCTATCATCCGCTCTCTTGAGCTGGCTTCGCCCATTAGAGTTGTCTCTAGCGAACATTTTGGAGCTTTGGTTTCGCCCTATTGCCTCTTTAATATTATTACTAATAAAGTTGCGAATACATATCTCAAGGACTTCCTTATCTAAGAACCTAACCTTTTGATACTTAAACGTTTTGAAAACTTAAAATAATTTATGTAAAATTTCGATCTATCTCATAAGATCCATTCACTAGATCCATTATGGATCTATTTCAATATCGGAATACGATATTGGCTTCAGTTCCGGAATTGAAATATCGGAAAAATGCATCCGAAATTCCGGAGTTACGAAATTCCGGAATTCCGGTATTCAAGCCCTATTACCGACCTCAATCCGAGTACACATCGTGACATAACACTATAGCAGTTACGTTACTGAGTTCTAGTTCGATGCTCCCAAAGTATAGTGTCTCACAATGTAGCCAAACAAAGGATTTAGTTTCCGCACGTTGCAAAAGACATTTTTCATAAACGAAAATGCAACTGTAAGAACTGTAACCCATCTTCATGCAAGGCTTCCCTTTGTTGGTCGATTTGCAACAATCCATTACGGAGATGGATTGCAATGTTGCCAAAGTAATGTCTAATGCATTTGACGCATTGTTGAATAGTGTTCTTTTTTTGAACAGCTGTTTCGTCAGATCTTGATAATGAGTGTTTGGCGCCGGCGCCGTTTACTGTAAAGGTGCTGTCTACTTATAATATGTACGGTTCTTACGCCCGTATTCACAAACGATGCTTGCTTAATTAAAGCAGCAAATCGAACGCACAGCGTTGAATAGAGTTCTGTGATTGATTCGTGTGTCACCCTGTGCGTCCACGCGTACTGTGAGACCTCATAGTAATGTTTGTGAATACGGGCGTTATTCTTACATTTCAAGCATAGTCCTTTGACATTTAAGATATTGTAAGACCTATTTATTGTTGTGTGACATTATCTGACGCATTACGTAATGCACTTCATGCCCACTCATGTTTCCAATCATACCTGCATGTACGACCAATTCTCTACATTATCAACTTAAAACTTCGTAGCCCTATTAAATAAAGTCATGGGCATACTTTTCAGATTTTTTTGCAAATTACCCCAACAAACTTTTTACATTTCGTTTAAAATAATACATTATAGACATGAAATATTTTCAATAACAATCAATATTACAAAACCACGTCAAGATTAACAACACATTTATGCTTTACTTAATAAAAGCTTGTAATAAATAGTCCATATCTACATCAATCAATGGTTTCTTGATGGATGAATGATAGCGTATGAATCGTTAACTAATTTAGCTGTAATGTAGCATACCTAATGCAATTAAAAAACTAGCATGAGAATACTAGAGCGAATAAAGCAGGCAAAAGGTGGTTTATTTGTAGTTCAATTAATACGACACAATTTAGTATACAAGGGCAATTTACAAGTTAACAAAATGCTTAATTAATACATAAATTCTTCAAGTTACTAAAATTGGAGCATTAAGAAATACTTAGTACTTTATTGCAAATCGCAATTTGAATATGAAAATAAAATATCTAAGTCATACAGTAGTACTTACGAGTATAATAAAATATTAACTGTTCTTTAGCTTTGGAGGAAAGTTGTTTTTAAAGTTTATTTATTAATGTAAGTGGTCAAAGTACTTCTTAGCACCAACCGAAATGTTGTTCCGAAGTGGTGATAGGGTAAGCTATATTTGGGCCTACATGTGATAAAAATTTTGAATTTTAATCCTGATCAATTTCTTATTAATTCTCACATATTTTTCGACAGATGTTTGTTATAAAACACTCGACACCTTCAACCTGAAAGCAATCGATTTTCTACTTTCATCAAGCTACTGGAAAAAGAAATTCAATACGGTCCGAACCAGACCTCGTCTCTAGAGAAAACAAATACTTTCGCTGCGGCTGACCCACTGGACTGCAGCTTGATGCACTGTTTGTTATTTAAATCAACCACTACAGTTTTACTAACAAACTAGCGGCCGCCCGCGACTTCGTACGCGTGGATCCTGTTTTACCCCCTTTTCCCGAATTTTCTTTGCTATAAACCTCACGGAGCCCGAGACCTTTCCAACGAATGCAAAACCGTGGAAATCGGTTCGTGCGTTCTGGAGTTATAGCGTCAGGGAGGAAAACCCGACTTATTTTTATATAGTAGATGATCTAACTAACCGATTCTAGTTATAATTAAGGTTTTCAGCAATAAAAAAAATTACATGACTGAATTCAATTAGAGCCTCATAAAATATCGAGAGCACACGAAAACTAGGACTTTTAATAAAGCCAGGTTTTGGTTTTATTACAAATCATCACTTTTTGTATTAGAATATTATGTTTCTTCGAGAAATGAGGTACTTGACCTCGGTCTTGCACTTGCTTTCTATGCTGATGGATTAAAGGAGAAGAAAACCACATTGGAAAATATCATGATATTACACACTACACTGACAGTTATCGTATATTACAAAGAGGAAAAATTTAACTGTTTGTGTGTATTGAATAGGCTCCAAAACTACTGGTTACTAATTAAAAAAAACTCAAATAAATTACTACACATGCTGACACAAACTAAATAATGTTAAATTCTAACTCTCATGTATGTGCATAATTGTGTTTTTGTTATTTTTGAGAGTCGTTATTTTCAAACCATGTCTTCTCATTAGGATTATCATCTTGTGACTTGTCATTTTATTACGTAATCTGTAAAATCAGATCACGAGATGTCTTTGTTGCTACGTTTATTTTTTCATTTATTTTTTTAAGCTACTGTTAAAGCACTCAAGATATCAGTGGCTCTTTTTGATAGAATCATAAATCGAATCCGTTGAAACTCCACCAAAAAAAAATAGCTTTTCGACCATCTTTCGACATAAAAACTGTCACATTTGGCATTTTATTTTTGGGGCAGATCACAAGATGTCTTTGCATGCAGCGTTTTTTTTCATGTTTTTCTTTTTTTTTCAAGGACGTTGAAGTTTGTTTTCCGCGTTGCACTCCGCTGGTTCAGACTCGCGACACAGTTTCCATCATTGCCTAATCAATGAGCGCGTTCGGATTGCTTTTTAAAATTCCACCTTTTTGTGTCTTGCAACGGTATCCGTACACCGTGGACTCATTCTCAGCTTCGGAAAATACTGGCATGTTCTATGCAAGTGGATCAAACTAAAGTGCTAATTAAGATTTAAATATTAATTTTGCGAATACCATGTCGTGAGACAAAAGTAAAACGTAAGATACGTGCATAAAGAAATACTACTATGTTGGTAACTTGGTAGATGCTTATAGAAGAAATGCATTTCAGGCTAATTTGGCACATTTTTTTTCCAATTGTAGTAACATTTTGTTGCTACTTATTTTTGTTGTAAAAAAGAGACATGTTCTTATTATACACACACATAAGTTTCACATTGTTTCAAATTCATTATTTATTACCCAGTCCAATAGAAACACTTAAAATGTACTTAAACACCTTGATTTAGTTAGATAAGAATCTAGACCTCCCACGAGGATCGTTTATTGAATTTTAAGTACGATCACCATACATTTGTATTGACATTCAATTATAATGAAATACATTTAACAGAAAAGAAATGAAGCGAAGAGATTACGTAACTAAATTATATTGGCGTCTATTACGCAAAAGAGGGCGTTGAAAATTTCTGTTAACAGAAAATTAATTTTAAACGGACCGTATTATAAAAAGTAAATGACCTTTACGCATACAAGTAGGTAGAGCTGCTTTTTCTTTAGTACCTTGCCTTAGTATTTTGTTTTAAAAAATACTTTTACAAACACAATTTTAACTTTCGTGAGCCATTTGGAACAATAACAATGTTGTTTAATCGATGTAAACATCATTTACTGGATCGTATTTACAAAGCCGATGTGATATCAATATACGAGTAATCGAACGCAAATTGCACTTGCTGTGATGATCTTAATTAAATTATGCAGTTGTGACATAACAATTTCACTGCGTATGTTACACATACATTATTATATTTATAACACAACTTTCACCGATAGGTACCGGGCGACTTTTTATCGGCACCCGAAACCTGACGTCGCAATTGATTTATATAATTAAAATATATGTAGAGACTCGGAAATCATTAACGTTTCCATCCTTGGTCTTCTTATAAATTGATATTGATAATACGTAACATATTTTTGATTAAATTGTAATACAATTATGAACGGGCAGCTAAGCTCCGTTGCAAAAGAAAGTAGTAACATTGCTAATCAATTTTAATTAATTTGATCCAAGTGGGGTTGCTCTTGAAAAAATATGGTAGAGTTCTGCTAGTGGCAGATTGATCGCATAGATGATGTTAATCTAACCTGTGGGATATCATCGATGGGATTATTGAAAATTTTACTCAATTAATATTTTATATCTTTTTTTACAGATAAGAAAGAAATATTTCACCAGATCAGCGGCATAACAACGCGTGAAATGTAAGTACGCTCCTATTTTCATCGTAAATGGTGGTACACCACTACTTATTCAAACCTTTTAAAAGTTAATTGGAATAACATAATAACACACACCTGTTACATAACTAACCCTACGTTCCGAAGTAGGAACCGTTAACACGGAAGAGAACCTATAGAACCGATCGATGCATGTTCATAATAACTGCTTGCAGCAAACCCGCGGACAATTCTAGTCATTACGTGCAATTTGTCTAGTGGCATTTCGTATTAACTTTGACATTTCATTACCACATGACGTTTATAATAACTGGCCATTTTGCCATGACCAAAGCATAGGAAGGACCGCTAACTCTAGCTATATTTATCGTCATCCTGTGCCATATGCAGTGAAGACTAGCTGCGGTAAAATACCTGGATGAAGGAAGACGAATAGTGGTAACGGAATTGTACAAAATATCATCGCACATACCTGTGGTACTCACAATTTAATGTTCATCGCCTATGGTATCACCACTATCCATACACTATCCATATACTATCTATACAGTATTCCAACTCGGCCATATTTTTGAAATAAATGTCAATAGCCGCGCACACAATCACAGACTACGAAATAAAAGTCTTTATGGCTAAGTTTTTATCATCAATTATTCCAGTTGCTCATACTCGTAACTAGCCAGAAATCATAAAAAATACTTCCTTTAACGCAGTGAGTGTAGTTGGGAATATCACAAGTTGGCTGCACTGTGTTCTGTTGCACAAAAGACCTTTTTATTAACAACATTTCTCTAGTTACTACGAGACTACCGATATCTACACCTTTAATACAATTAATTTGTACGGAACGAAGACGTTACCGTTGTGCCTAAGCTGCCTGCTGCTGACATTACTTGGTGTTATTATACTTATTATTCAACAATCCCGTAACTCTTAGTCGGTAATCTGATCATAGCGTGAGCTTAGTCCAGTCCAGAGCACATGGCGATGGCTATCGGATTAAATATACACATCTATTATCTAATCCACTTTAGAAAGTATTAAATGTAGCTGTTAAACTGCTTGCATTACGTTGGAAACATTAATTACGGCCATTTACGTTTTATCGGGCAATCAAAAATTGCGACAACGCTATGATATATGCTTTGGCTGGCTCTAATAGTGCGAATACTCGGAAATATAAACATAGTATAATAATTATAACGCTCATACTACTGGATTATACTGATTCCAACAGGAAGAAATAGTAGGTACAAAGTATTAATAGTCCCATTAACCCCTCGTGGTTCATACTGGTCCAGCGGACGACGGAGTCCGAACCCGCGTACCTCAGATCTCTGTCGGCCAGTCCGATCCGATACCGACACTGATGTGCTATTGTCGCCTATTGTACTCGTATCTTACTGAGAAACAAGGAGCTTTCTCCTGTGACCCCATTACCAACAGGTCTCATGCGTGCCCCTGGCTCACCCGACCCAAATTTCACCCGAAAGGCATCTGATAAAGCGTGGGAACCCTCACTTTCTACGGGTAATTTATTGCCTCTTCGATTTTACACTTCGTCAAACGACATAGGTGCAAGAAAGTGACACTCTCAGATGCATGCACTAAAGGCACTAAAGCCATTTACCTGATGTCTAGCATTTTCCTTTGAGCGGCAAGCGCTTTGAATCAACATGTGTTTTCTATTGGCTGTAGGTATTTTCTCAAGGCATCATTTTATTACGTAGACTTAGATATCAGTTGTTTGAATTAGAGCAGCTAAAGATGGTAATAATTCAATAGTACAATTAAAATTAATTTTATTGTTTGATCCGACGAAACGCTCTCTTATGATAGTTACTTAATAAAATCACTTACGCTATAGTTTACAAGTATTATCTAATCATCCCGAGAAGTTAATTATAATTCTAATTCACCGGTTGAGTTAGCTAGATAATTATAGTTCACAGGTTTATTACCAAATCGTGCGGAGAAAGCCAACATGGATATTGGAATTTCATCAAACAAAGTACTTGTGCGTGGTATAAATTAAATACAATAAAATACTGCCTCTACAATTACCAGTACAAAATTTGAATTGCAATTCTAACAAATGAAATAACACGTCCGTTGCGCCTGCGCCTTCGACTAGAAAGCAGTTCTACGACTGTCGTTTATATTAACTACCTAATATATCTAGTTCGATAGATTGAAATTGAGCATTGGTCTTATTTTATTATGCCTTACGAGTGTAAATAGCAAACTGTGTTTACAATACAAAGTGACTTTTCTATTTTTAATCGTCTTGAAACTGTTTACGAAGCACATTCATACCGAAATTGGTTTGAAATTGCACAGTATAAACAAGGTGCAAAACTTTGCACCTCACAAAAGAGACTAAAATAGGAGATAAGTTTATGGAAAAGAGACGAAAATACAAAATCTTTGTTCGAAACTTTTGACAAAACCCTAAAGTCATACAGAACTTCTTTTATAAGAGCCCTTAAAAGTTCGTATAATTTGCCACAATTCATATTGTTTATGACCAAGTACGAGTTATGTAAATGTTTGGCCCGAGTACTTGTAGTTGAGAGTCTTGACACAGATCCCTCTCTATTCACTCCGACGACTACTTATTACTAATATTCCATAACGACAAAGTTATTTGTAATTTGTCAATACCGTAGCAATTCAAGGTTTCCTCGTGAAAATTCTATTGTTAAAATATTAGAAACACCTACGCGTGTTGAAAATGAAATTCTGTGTTACATACATTTCCGTTCATGTACTTAGTTCACAAGTATTGCACATCAATTCATCAACACAACATACGGGTAATAAAAGCTTTTCCTAAGGTATCTACTCACTTACTTTTCGTCAAACGTTCTCTTAGTTCAGATAAGTAGATAAATCAATGTAAATTAATTCTATCCACGAGTTAAACGTCTAACTTTAGATCGTTGATCCACATATTTGGGTGCAATTTACAAGGTAAATAAAAGTTGGCTATATCTGTCTGCATATTGGTTTATACTAAAAACACACTTTTGCTAGATTAGTAGGTACAGTCGACAGCTTAAAAGACTACACGGTTTTGTTGCAAAATAGCAGCTATTACAGCTACGTAAGATGCAGCAATATTTAGCTTGTCATGCTGTCGTCATCATTATAATTCTTTGCGAGCACTTAGGTCAAACTTAAGCTTACTCAAGTTGTTGATTCAGGTCACACATCGCGGAAACAAGAGTATCGTCTCCCAGTTCGAAAAACATCGCAATAGTAATGTGAGTCCAAATATGAGCTCGTTTGTATGCACTTACGAGTAGGAATATAAAAAAGTGGCCAACCAATGTTAAATATAGAGTGTCACTATGCAATTGACATAGGGTGCCGATAGCTGACCTATAGTTATGAAGTCTTGGCAAAAAAATACTGGAATCCTGCTGGGTTATAAATTTTAATTCTAGAGCGTTGTGAGCCCAATGCTCTATTTGGGGCAAGTCTGCAACAGCCCATAAGGCCAATAATACACGAACTTTAAATTTTTGCGCAAAACCACGCCGGCATCAGGGCCTTACTCGTGCTTGATGATATAATTGTTTGTCCTTACCTCATCAATACAATGACAATGTTTAATTACACTGAGACGAAAGGTGAAGGCCGCGAAGTATTGACAACTTACATAATATAGCTACTTGTACTTTAAACACCTTGAAATTAAATGTTATATAAATATACCTACAATATAAATATACCACTAATAATTACCAAAATATATAACTTAGTTTTTAAAACAAAACATATAATAGAGAACGAGATATTACCATCAACCGAACTTGTTTACCGCACAAGAAAAGTAGCGGTAAACATTTTCAAAAGAACGGTAATCATTTATGCATTTTTGTAGTTGCACTACTGTAAGTACAGCGACAAGCTCTTACCAGCTCACAGTATCGGCCCAGCGACCGGTCGAGTGTGCTATATTCGCGACAGTGACCGCGTTGACAGGTGCAAGGGAAAGCTGCGCTTGCACTGTACCATACATGTCTTTATGCACATATCGTGCACCATGTCACACATATTTACTATAAAATATTGCGATCATGAGTGAGATTATATGCTAATCCATTCAAGTCAAGACTTGTAATGATCACAACTTTTCCATGTTCCATATCTGATGATTTCAAGAGATAATTTTGACACAGAAGAATACCTGTATCTAATAATCATTTCATTTACGATTTTTCCTTAATTATACAGTTTACAGTGATAAAATAAAAAGTTATACATTTTAAATGAAATGTAGCTGGTCTGCTGAATGTATAACGGTAATTTATTTACGAGTAATACACAATTTTTCACTTGAAACAATCTACTTTCATAATAATTTGGGATACAAAGTTACAAACCTTCCTTTCACTTGCCCGGCGACTGCTTTAACCATTGGGCTACCAGAATTGGATATTGATTCAGCTTTCAGTGACTTTTATGTGCTTTTACGCTGTGTACTAGAGTAGATATAGGTTGGTAGTGATTGTAAAATTACGAGTAGGTACTAATTTTGATATAGTATTTGTTGTTTATTTTAATTGCCAGTGATTTTACGTGGCTAATTGTTATTTATTTGACAAGAATAATCGACAAAAACATGGTCTAACAATAGCCATTTAGTAGCCTGTGAACTTTAAAATATTTTCAATAGAAAACCACTATAGGTACCGATTGTGATAAAATACCAACATATTATTAGACCTCCGAAGACAATATCTTTTCAATGATGAACACATTGCCCCTCGATGCCCAAGATAACATAGAAATTATGTTATTTTTGGGTTGTTTTCCATCGTAGCCATCAATGTCTATATTGTCTATGCATAACAAAGTATAATGTAGTACCTAGTAATCATTATAATTCTTATAAATATACCTATTACTATTACATTAGCTCTACATTTTTATTGTAGTATTATTTGGCTTTGACAGAAAAATTAAGTGTGAAAGTGATAATTTGAATACGTTTAAATCGCCTTATTTACGTACGT